AAGAGAGGGTAAATCTAGTCCTTGCCGTAAAACCAAATAAATTTATAACATTACCAAAGTAAAGCGCGCGCTCTCATTGGTCAATTTACCGTCCCCCATTTGCCCATGAGTGTACGCTGCTGACGTGAGCAAATGCAAAGACTACTTTTCCGCGCGCGCATGACGAAATTTAACAAATGGTAAACACCACAGCGTACACTATTGAGTTATGGATGCACTTGGGAGGTTTGCTAAGCACGAAAGAAGCGTAAGAGTCGCTCGAGGCGATAGCCGAGAGCGACTCTAGCTTCTTGAGTGCTTAGCAAACCTCCCAAGTGCATCCATAACTCAATAGTGTACGCTGTGGTGTTTACCATTTGTTAAATTTCGTCATGCGCGCGCGGAAAAGTAGTCTTTGCATTTGCTCACGTCAGCAGCGTACACTCATGGGCAAATGGGGGACGGTAAATTGACCAATGAGAGCGCGCGCTTTACTTTGGTAATGTTATAAATTTATTTGGTTTTACGGCAAGGACTAGATTTACCCTCTCTTGACGTAATGGCTGATTTACTCTCTTTTGCCCAAAATTGCCAATAGACTAACACGTGAGAATGTTGCAAAAGATTTGGAAAAAGACGAAGAGGAGTTACTGGATGAGTCTGATGAAGAGAACAGCAATAACACATGAAAGGACCGGAAAAGTGCTGGAATCTCTTAGGACACAGAAACAGCTAAATGACCTCATTGATATCATTTTGGAAAATGAAGAGTACAAAAAAAAACTCATTTTTAGAAACACAAAGTTTCAACGTAATGGAGAGTTGTACAAGAAAATTAAACTTGAATTGGAGGAGAGATGTGGTACAAGGAATGAGAGAATATCTTTAACTGTTGATCAAATACGATCCAAATTTAAAAAATTGGTGAGCGAATGTAAAAAGGTGGCTCTTACAATCAAGACAGCTACTGGAATTAAGTGGTTCTTGGATGACAAGGGCTATGGTGCATGGTTTGATAAACTGTTTGCAATTGTAAAGACCAGAGATAGCTGCCAGCCTGAGCAAGCTATTGAGCCATCAGCACTTGAAGATCAGACTGCAAGCAGTACAGAGGTGGTCTCAGAGAGTGAAATAGAAACCAAACCAAAAAGATTGTATGTCCCAGTGAAAGAAAGAAAGCGAGGACAAAAAGATGACTCTGTGTGTGAGGCAGTTAAGCTCATCAGATGTATTGTAGAAAATGACCCTACAAAGGAAATTATTAACTTTATGAGAGAAGATGCCCAAAAGGCCCGTCAGCATGAGCTGCAATTGCTTCAGATGCTTTCTCATGGAAACTGGCGGCAAAGTCCCCCTGGCTTTCGTACTCCTATGGCTTCTCGCAATAACTACTTTCAGCCTGAGGCCTTCAGTACTCCTCTTGGCAATCAGCATAGCCATCAAGATCTTTCTCAAGAAAACCTGTTTCATCCAATTTCTGTGGCAATGTCTCGACCACCATCTGCTCAATCAAATGCTTCATCTTCAAGCTCTTCATCAACACATGATGTACCTTTTTACCACTCTATGTAAACACAATATCGTGTTTGTGAAATTTTGACACTTTTAGTGCAAGACAGCAATGTATGTTATTTAGTCGTAACTCGTTGTTAGAAATCCCACTTAAATCGGGGAAAAGAATATTTATATTGTTTATGGTAGTCCAGAATAAAACATTTAGATCCTTTTTGAGTTTAACGACGTACCGAAATGCCACAGAATTCACTTATTACCAAGAAAGGATAAAGAGTGCTATTTAACGCAAGGCAATCTCCCAAACCCTGGTCAGGATCTGTCATATCCTGTGAATGAAGGCGTTTTCGTGCTCGAAGTTTTTATTTTGATGCTCTAAATACCCGATCACTTTCTTTAACGAAATTTTGCACCACTGGTGCAAAGAACACTTATTTAAGAAAAGAACACTTATTTCTTCCACATATTCTTTATCATTCACCTTTTCTGCCGAAAAAAATGGATGTTACTAAAAGTGGTAACGGGGAACGGGGAACGGGCGTACAGCGGTAACCCACCTGAGAATTCAAAATGGCGGAGTAAACGATGTTTACAAACACTGATTTTATGGCTAGGTCGCCGCTTGCAGCGAAATTAGACGGCTTGCTTTTATTTAGCTATTGCCCAGGCGAAGCCACGAAGCCCAGCATTCCGAGGCGAGAATTCGAAGTCAACGTTTCTGCAATGGCTGGCACTATTTGTTCTGACGTCTCTCTTTGTTTTTCCTTCCTGAAATCTGCATCTTTTGGCAGAGTTTGGGTATGTTGGCTGTTTGCATTGCCCAACAGCACTTTTTTCAGATAAGTAGCAAGGAGGTAATATCTTAGGTTAACAGAAATGAGCTAGAAAATGTAATAACCAGCCTAGTTACTAAAATTACTACATGCAGATATCTGGTTACCTTACCGCAAAATAACATAAGGAAGGTATCTTTGTATCGACCCAAAAACTTCCATGTAAACAATAGAGAAATCAAACATTGACAGAACTTTTAATAACATTTAATTTAACAGGAAAACATCAGTTATGTACTCAAGAATGTAGGTGTATGAATTCAGATTCATGCTAATGCTTACAATAATATTTACACTGCATTGATCATATTCAAGGGAAAGTGATTCCCATAATGGGCGTGAAAGTCATTCAGCTGTTTGCTTTACAACATTATTGACATTGCTAGGTTGTAACGGTAAAGATATTGGAGGTAAACTTCATTACCTTGCAGTACAAGTACTCTATGAATATAGGAATAAATGTCGCGAGCTTGTAGTTCTGAGTTGATTGTTCAAATGTTGTGCATGAATTGAAAGATACTCACCTCTCCGAGGATTTGATTTCCATGCAACCTGCAATATGTGCCAGACAAAAACTAAATTTATGAGGCACTCAACATTTCAAAGTAAAATCCTTCAATCAAACCTACACTTACCGTCCATGCTTTTTGCTCCGACGATCGCGTTCGAAGAGCACGTACTACTAGTTACCAGACCCTTTTAGTTCCCTTTACTCCGCCATTTTGAATTCTCAGGTGGGTTGTGCGATTATCGGAGGCGAAAGGAAGAGTGGAGGCTAAGTATATATTTAAAGCTATATATTTAATGGGAAGAGGAGCTCACAAGAGCAAGGCCTGAGGTCAACTGAACTGTTGCATAATCACATCAGGATATTTATAAGTCGAGCGCGGTTGGTAGGTAAGAGGATTAAGGGCTAATCCCACAGGTTACCGCTGTACACCCGTTCCCCGTTCCCCGTTCCTCGTTACCAGTTTTAGTAACATCCGAAAAAAATGGGTTTCTTACACCATGTCACGTGTCACGATTAATGATAATAAAAGCAGGACACCCTCACGAACTTCCCGAACTCTGGGACGTACTTGGCAGTTTGTACACGCATTTAAAGAAAACAAACAATACCCTGAATATGTAAATGATTTACGTATCAGAAACTCAGACACATAATAGATCAACCCGTTTCTGTAATCTTAACTTACGTTATAACATAGCTTGTAAATTCGTACATTCAAATTCAATAGCGAGAGCGTGCTTCAGTTTTCCATTGTGCACGCTGGTGACGTCACCCAACAAATGCCTCGCGAAAAAATTTTTTTCGCGAGTGACTTCAGCATTTTTCATTAAGAAAAGGGAAAATCTTCCGCATAAATGTCAAACTAGACCTGGCAACAAGCGAACAACCCGATGAAGATCTGCCTACTTTTTCTTTGGGAATTGATTTTTTAACTCTCGAGAAAGAACCCAGAGAAAAGGAAAACAAAATGATCAATGGTTTCATCTCGGTTCAGAACTCAAACTTCATTTCCACGCATGAATTCACCTGTCAGTGTTTGACCAATCTGAAACAAGATCATTGAAGCATGGCGAAATACTTTTCCGAACCAAAAGAAACAACGCATTGAAGCGTAGGAGAGGGAATTTCTGCCCTTTATACATAAACTACAGCGTTGAAAGTGTTATAAAACAATTGGTTCATACGTCAGCTGTGTGTTCATCGAGATATGAAGCACTTGGGAAGTTTGGAGAGCACTCAAGAAGCAAGAGTTGTTCTCGGCTACGCTTCGAGCAACTCTTACGCATCTTTCGTGCTCTCCAAACTTCCCGTGTGCTTCATATCTCGATGAACGCACGCTGACGTATGAACCAATTGTTAGTTGCCCTCAATATAAGAGAAGTAAGCCAGGTGGTCGAACGTTTGCTGTGAGAGCAACAAAGGAATGGAATAAACTAAGTGCAGACCTCAAACGGAGTACTAGTGTCCAAAACTTTAAGCGTTCCCTTTTTAAAATAATTTTAAATAATCAAATTCTCACGCAATTACTCATGTAAATTTTAAAATCTGTATATAAACACATTTTATAATCTTATTATGGGATGTGCAAAGGCTTATATACTATTTTAATTACTATTAATATTGTTACAACTATTGCCATTAGTTTGTATTTTTGAGGGCTATTAGCTTATCAGTTTTATTACTGCCAAATGTTACCCTCACAAATAAAGTCTTACTTACTTACTAACACACTGTTGGGACTCGTTGTGACACACGCATAATCGAGTGATCGAAATCCTACCTTAATCGAGGGAAAAGAATATTTATATAGTTTATGGTAGTCCAGAATAAAACATTTGGATTCTTTTTTAGTATTCTCCTAAACTCTGATCAGGATCTGTCATATCCAGCGACAAAAAGGTGTTTCCGCGCTCGAAGTTTTTAATTTGATGCTCTAAATACCCCGGAATCACATTCTTCAAAGAAATTTTGTGCAAGGACAAAAAGGGGCAAACTTAAGAACACATTTCTTATACATACTCTTTATCATTTACCTCTTCTCCCGAAAAAAATGGGTTTTTCATACCATGTCACATGTCAGGATTAATGATAATTAATGCAGGACACCCTCACGAACTTCCCGAGCTCTGTGACGTACTTGGCAGTTTGTACACGCATTAAAAGAAAACAAACGTTACCGAGGAAGTTTCTAAAGAGATGCTTCCGGGAAAGCACAACTTAAGCGCTTGTGGCTGAGCAGTTTCTGTTGAGACGAATTATCTCTCGTTGCAATAACAGGTAACGTGCGCAAAAAACGGAATGACCGTTTATTGAGCTGCGAAGTAATGGTGACAAAATATTTAATAGGAGGTGAAACACAGTTTAGTTTTGAGAAATTGGCTTTATCCACCTCTTTTGTTTTAACCATCTAATTTATTTCACAGCGGTGCACATTATTTTGTCCGTCACAGCATTTCTTGGGAATTCTTTCATCCTTGTTGCCCTTCACAAGGAATCTTCCCTCCATCCGCCCTCCAGACTCTTGTATCGTTGTCTGGCAACAACTGATCTGTTGGTTGGTCTTGTTGCCCAGCCTCTCTATGCTACCGTGAACTTCTTGGATAACAGGACTCTCGAAGACCGGGAGATTTTCCGTAACGTAGACAACGCGACCTTCATCACAGCCTATGCATTATGTGGAGTGTCTTTATTGACGATGACGGCCATAAGCGTGGACAGACTTCTCGCCCTGTTGTTGGCGCTGAGATACAAACAATTTGTAACTTTGAAGCGCACAGTCATCATTGTAGTAGCCATTTGGGTTTTAGCTCTTGTTGCTTCTGTATCTTTCATTTTTGATTACCGTATAACCGTTTTGTACGGCCTCATATTTACGCCAATTTGCCTGGTTATCTCAATCACCTCATACACAAAAATCTTTTGCGTTCTTAGTCACCATCAGGCTCAGCTACAAAATCATTCTCAAGGACAACCGTGCCAACCAAATGCACTGCACATGGCGCGATACAGAAAGGCAGTGTACAGTGCACTGTGGGTACAGTTAGCATTAGTCGTTTGTTATGCACCATTCGTTGTGGTGAAAATTGTGCTCAGCCATAGTAAAACGTATTCATCGCACTTATGGGTCATTAGGGAAATAGTGCTTGTCTTAGTTTACTTGAACTCGACGTTAAACCCGTTTCTTTACTACTGGAGGATCAGTGAAGTAAGAAAAGCAGTAAAGCAGACAATCTGGCAAGCACTTTGCTGTACATGGAGATAGATCTCGATTGCGTTGCAATCGTATTTGAAATAGTTTAAAAGCTGACTTCTAAAGTCATGGGTTATTTTAGGAAGCTCGTAGGATACTTCAGTAGAAGAAAGAAATAAGAGACTCAATGAAATCGTCGCACATATGGAAGACAGGGAATCGTAACAAAATACCACTTATCCTAGATAGGACATTACATAATTAAACAAAAACAAAACAAAAGATATACGCGCATGGTATAGAAAGGTACGAGATGTTTGACTTTAGCGTCTTGTCTTCTACTAAAGTATGGGGTAAAAAGTAGAGCTGTTAGAGTTTTAAATGTAACACTTCGGATTTTTTGTTCTTTCTAACTGAAAGCGCTTGACGTTAGCGCCATATTGTCATACGAGCCAAGTCACAACGTCAGTTTTAAACAGTCATTTGTGTTGTTATATGAGAGAAATGTCCATCTGTCCATAATGCTTAAGAATTCTAGAGATGTTATCATTACTTGCAGACAGTGTGTAGGTCAGCGTATAGAATAAAATTGACCATCACCGTTTCTTATGCGTTTATCAATTCGAAGCTTTTGAATTAAACTTGAGAAGATTTGTTCTTTACAAATTCCAGGCCCCCCGCCCCAATCAATATTGATCGATTCCTTGTCTTATCATCGAATGTTGTAGAGTTTAACAAAGTTGGTGCTGCTGTTGGGCTTTTCGCCTATAAAAATTTCTAAGCCATTCGCTCACAGAAGCAGACTCTTTACCTTTAAACTCATCCATTAAAACACGCGTATTACGCAGGAAAGACTTGACACTTCCGGTTCAATTCCCCACCTCACAGTGGACATAGGCAAGGTTTAAGTTTACCATCCCCTAGGGACAGACGACAGACAAATGCATGTGCGTTTCCCAGGGGGAGGGGGGTTGAAGCTTCGAACAGATCGGCGCATTATGGACTTCTTTTCAAAATTTCTCGTATTTTCGAAATTGAACATAGCGCTCTGTTGGTGTTTCATCTTACGTGCGTAATAACAATAATACAATCACAGCTGTCTGCATGTTTGAGTCTTGATGATAATTTATTCATAAATTAAACATCAGACAAACGCGTAGTAGTAAGCTACAATAGACTCCCGCCTCTATTCTGCATAAACTTGAATTTCACAAACTTAACTCATTTTTTACCCACAAACTGTCTCCATTCAATTATTCATGTAAATATAAGGTACAACCATGATCTCAAACAAAAAAGTTGTCATATTTATCGATTAAGAGGCATTTTGTGGGCGTAATTTTAAGAGTAAACGTTTATGCGGAAGTCTTCTAGTAAATGTCCCTTATAAAATGAGAATCAAATTATTTTTCAGAGAGTTTTGATAAATCCTATGTAGCCACTTTTTCCGATCGCAATCAATGATTGAAAAAATTGTTTTGTTCACTTTCTTATAAAATGTAACAGGCTTGATCAAAGGAGTGTGGTTAAAACGTGCGAGAGTATTGCAAATACAAGAACACAATCACCTGCTGTACACATAGCAGCTTGCTTAATACAAAAAAATTCGTGTTATCTCATCAATCCGTCGAAGAAAGAAACTAAGATCATACAGTTCAATATCCTAGCTTTTTTTTCGTGATTGTTAAAAACAATCACTTTGAATTTGCAGTCAAAAGAAAGAGAGCGTGGAGAAAGAAAATGCAAAGTGGTTTGGTGGCCTTACATCCCGCCATGCAAAACGGAGAGGAAAAAACCTCCAAAATGTTATTCATTACAAATTTAACACAATTATTTAGAAAAAATATTCATAGTTCAATTGCTTGATGCTTTCGGATATTTTCACGAATTCAATATTAATATTTTCCTTGACCAAGTAAAATAATCGCCGGCTGAAACGTTTTGTTTTCAGTTTTCCGTGGCTAATTACGAATCAAATTTCGACTTCAATTATATGTTACGGACCTATTAATGAATACAAATCCAAATAAAGAGTGTCGTGCCATTTCAACAGATAAAAGGCAGCTAAATCGAATCAGAAAAAAATTGAATTCTACGCCCTAGATTTGTTCACTTATTTGAAAACATTTTGTGCTCCGGGAACAAAAGATTATTAGCGGATGTCAGTTGGCATTGGTCGTAAAAGTCGCGTTGAAACTCACACTTTTTTCTATTAGTTTTAGGATTTTAACGAAGCAGAATTTGAATCGTAACCATCAGATAAAAGTTTAAAAGGGAAATCGATCATGTGGACTGCGCACTCATAACATTTACACTCTTTTTCGAGAACAGAAAGGGTCACAGAGACACTGTTATTAGACTTAGGAAGATGAAAATAAACTTTTATACCCTGTTTTAGACTTAAGTCCCCGAATCATAAGCACCCATTCATGCCCAATAACAGGGTGTCCCTTTGTATGAGATATCAACCAAAATGTATGTTATGACATATGTGAAAAAAAAACAAAAAGATGATAGTAATATGATTCTTTCTTACAGGCTCTACTCACCATCGTCCTTCAAATATTTATTGTACTATGAATTCAAGTTAAAATCTTCTTCTTTTCAACAATGAATAAAAAGAACTTCACACAGAGTGAAAGGCTGTGTTAGACGCAAGCGATATTGATCGACGCGTGCAAACAAGCTCAGTAAAGCGTGTCTTGTCTCTCCCGCACGCCATGAATTGTTGGATACAAAAATAATATTTCCAAAAACCCAAAATAACTTGCAATTCAAGATTCTTTGTGAGATCCCGAAAAAAGTTTGAAATTGCAAAAATATTTTGTCAAGATCTAGAGGCGCTTGCGCCAGCTGTCAGTTGAAGTCAGAGGCCTAATAAGTTTCCCGCTGTTCAAACTGAGGGACAAGTATGTAAATAAATGTAAAACGATTCATTAAGTTTTTAGTAAATTGATATCTTCTGTAATGACTCAACTATTTAAAGCAGTAAATGAAACTGGAATTCGTTTCGGCACTCAAATTAAGCCTGTTCCATTAGAATCTAGAAAATGGACCTGTAGAATTGAGATGGCGGTTTGCTTCTGCAGACGAATGTTTCAATTCCACAAACGGGAACAAATGTTTGGTAAAGAAGCACATCGTCCGAGTGGAAGAAAACGACACAAGCTATCATGTGCTTTTACATTTTTACCTCCAGACTCACACCACAGCGACATTGAAATGGAACATTTGGAGCCAATACGTGAACGAGTTGAAGACAAAATCAACGCTTAAGCCAATGGTAACACGGATAAAAAATTCCATCGTCAGGTGCATATCGGTAAAGAACGGTTTTTCGACGTTGTACATAACGCTGTACATCTGTGTGAAGCCGACCGCTGCTATCAGTGCAGTCGATTCTCCAATAATCCTCTGAATGCTTATGTTCGCTACGAGGCGCATGCTTCTTGGGGTGCGAAAGTTTTTTGCACTCGTAAGTAATACTTCTTGGGCACCAGAGCCGCTTTTAAGCTTTTTCAAAATGTAGAACCAAATGTAATCTCGCAAAAGAATAGTTAACTCTCTAACAAATGAAGACAGCCATCCAAACAATAGGTTCCATTTCCGCCTCTCTCTCTCGAGTCTGATCTTTTTCGTTCCTCCCCGAGAAGAGATAAACTCCACTGTAATTCCCGCAGATTTAAGAAAACGAACTTGATCTTCCAAAAGTGAAACCGGAGGAGAAATGACATGAACGATTGACTTTCCATGTAACAAAGGCTTCATATCATGCCTCCACTTCAAAAACAATCGGCGCGGACTGAAAAATCAGCGGCTTCCCGACTCAAGGATAAGTAGTTAGATTTTTTAACCGAAGTTATATATAAAAGGAGAAGTCACGAAACTGCTGATATGCATTTTGGTTATAATCATCTAGGAATAAGGAAATGCCCGAAAAATTTACGAAGGTTCGAAACCTGGTTTTAAAGCTCGTAGGGATAAAAACGTCACATATGCTAGAATGCATTTTTAAACTCTCTAACTGCTAAAAGGCGTCTCGGTACCGCGTGGAAAAAACAACTTCAGTATTAAAAACAACGAGTTTAGTGTATCTAACCAAGCTTTCGTAGAAGTATAGGAGTACATATAAATGTTGTGCCGCGTAGCACTAAGAACACAAATGATGGAACAGAGAATTAACTATGAAGCGTAAATTAAAGTGCTAAGTGAAACCGATGAAAACCCCACTGAGCGTTAGCCCTTGCAAAGGGTATACGGGAACCACACGAGGTAAAGTTTGATTCCCACCCAGGTCACAAGAAGTTTTTCTTTACCTCGTGTGGTTCCCGCATACCCTTTACTAGGACTAACGCTCAGTGGGTTTTTCATGGGTTTCACTTAGCACTTTAATTGACGCTTTAGAATAAATTCTCTGTTCCATCTTTCGTAGAAATATCCTTCCTGCGATTTTCTAGGAGGATCGAAGGACGCGCGCTCGCAGAATAATTTCTTTTACGCTTAATATGACATTAGAATACTAAAGATATTTATGGGGGAGGGGAGAGGGGCAAGTAAGTTTTATTGTGACACAACCAAAATCGCAAGACAACAATAATACAATTGACGATGGTCAACATTTTCCTCTCCTGACTCTAGAAAGTTCTATTATCCTTGAGATTTACGGTGGTTTCGCTACTTGACGAGTTCATTACGTTCAAGTTTGCCACATGTTCGCTACCCACAGGCCGAGTTTGCTACCATAACCGAGTTTGCTACCATAACCGAGTTTGCTACCATAGCCGAGTTTGCTACCATAACCGAGTTTGCTACCATAGCCGAGTTTGCTACCATAGCCGAGTTTGCTACCATAACCGAGTTTGCTACTATAGCCGAGTTTGCTACCATAGCCGAGTTTGCTACCTTAACCGAGCTCCTCACCCTACTGTTTTTACCAACGTGATGTCTATAACTCAAAGACCCTCGTTATGTTTTTGTCGCCTGTCATCGTGGCCGCGCTTCGTTTACAATTTATCAGCGCAATTATTTTGATATTGCATCAGTGGTCACAGATGATCCGTGTTCACGATCGTCGTTAGAGAAATGAGAAATAGAAAGATGACCAAAACAAGGTAAATTAACCATATGAAGACACGATTTGTATTTTGTAAACTCCTCTTTTAATAACAACTAACTACAGCATCATAGAAAACCTATACAGACCTAGTTCATATTACTGTACTTGGTACTACAGTATCATAGAAACCCTATATTAAACCTAACCTAAAAACACGCCACTGCGAATATTGTGTCAAAGGATATCTTATTCGAAATTGTATGACCTTGAGCTTAATTAAATTAAGGTAGTAATTGACTTCAACTCTACTCAGTAGAATTCCAGTTCAGCCAAGTTAACTGAACTGGAATTTTATAAAGACTAGTCGTGTGTATTTACAAAATCGGGGAGCAATAAGACACGAGGCTCTTTTAAGGAGACGGTTTCCCAATATTTCGCTACTCTGGAACTGGTCCCAGACACCAAAGGGACTCGGAACTCCCGCAAGAGTGACATGAAGCAGTTTGGCTATTGAT